TTCAGACGTGTGCTCTTCCGATCTCCCCAAAACCCCAAAACCCCAAAACCCCACAGTCCTTAATATCAGAAATTGGAATGACAATAATAAATCTGAATGAAATATATTTTAAAACCAAGTAGCTGATCGAGCAATAAATATTAAGAATTAAGCTTAAATGATGAATGGATCACAAAACTAAAGTTCTCCAGATGAACTAGAATACTTATTAAAGCAATTACGACAGAAGTTTGCCTCAGTTTCATTACTAACTGAAGGGTCTCCAGAAAAAGATTCTCCTCGCAAAAGTCTTAAAATCCCCAGACGAACCTCAGAGATGCAATTTGATAATGATGTATTCGAATTTTCTCCCGATTTATAAGCTAACAACTCAAACATGGGAGCAGGGGGTGCATCCTTAAATGGTAGTTTTGAGCTGAGAAATTCTAGTGGTCTGAATAACTCTCAGTCACGGATTGATATTAAATCTAATTTCTATATAAACAAACTGATGAAAGTAGAAGATACTGAGCAATTGATGCAGTCACTTTTCTCGGTCGCTGGTATGTATTTACATATATTTTGTTCATTATATTTTTCATAGAAAATTTAATATAAGATTACAAGAAGTCTGATCACAGATTGAGAAAGGAACGCCTCAAGAATAGATAAAATGAGCACACTATCTACGAACAGGAATGCGAATTAGTAAAGCTGAAACAGAAAAATGAAGAGCAACTCGAAATTATGATGTAATTCGAGTAAGAGTACCTTAAATAAAAGGACGACTACAATTAGCTAATGAATGAAATTGAAGAATTGCATAGAGAGAATAAAGATCTCCGAGAAATTATTAAGGGTTTTAATCATGAAAAAAGTGAGTTGAAGCAAAATATGCAAGAGAAGATAGATTTTCAAAAAGAGCAATAGCAAAGGGTGAATTAAGTGTTAGTGACATTTAAAGATAAAATAAAAGTTCTTTAATAAGAGGCTTTCTTGCAAAATAAAAAAATCGGCGAATATGAGAAGGAAAACTAAAATCTTGTGAAATAATTATATGAATCCAAAAATTAAAATAAATTTTTCAGAGATGAACTACAGCATATGCACTAAATTGAAGATAATCTTCATAAAAAATAGCAAGAACTTCTGGCAAGCAAGTCGCAATAAAACCAGCAAGCTACAATAATCCCTGAAATGAAGGAAAGTATTATTAGCGGAGTTAGCAGTTCTCAGTAGAGTACTCTTCATGAACCCATGTCACTAAGACTTGAGTAACTTGCTTTGAAGAAAAGAAACTAAAGAGGAAACAATAGCGTTGACTATGACACTAATAACAGATCATTTAATAAATCAGCAAAGCAAATCAAGAAGGTAAAGCTTGAAAGGATCGACTCAATCGATAATGATGATGATAATCAATTGTAATTCGAGTAATGCCTCCAAGTTCAATAGCAGTAATCCATGTAAGCAAGGCCTAGATTATCTACGTTTGCATCTAACAAAAATGGGAATACTAGCAATAAAACTCTTGCTAATGAGCTAAATATGGATGTATTTGAGGATTTCTTTAGCTTGGGAAGTAGATTTGAGGATAGGTCCTAGCTACTTATCACAGATGATGACATATCAGAGTTAAGCCCAAGATATTCACCTTAAAATAGAAGGCTATCTCACAATGATCTACTTGAGCCATTCACTCCGAGAAACTGTTCAGCATCAAATCTTAGTTCAGCACACAGAAGAAGACTAGTTGCAAGAGTGGCAAGAGGAAAAGATGGGAGACCTCTTGATCCAAAATCGAGTTTATAATACTTGCTCACTAAATCCAAGAGAAGAATGACAATTGCCTTGAAAAACACTGAGCTACCTCAAAATGTAAGACTTTCTTAAAAGGAATTCGCTAGCTATCTTCAAAAGAAATACGGCAGGAAAAATGTTAAGAAATATGATGACATGCTAAAGAATGATAAAAAGATTGATATTGGCGCTTTAAAGCGAAGAGCCACGATGGTGGGATCATAGTTTTCCAGATTAAGCGAAATTGAAAAGAAAGTAGATACAAGTGTCCTTATAACCAGAAAGGAAGCTAAAGATTTCAAAGATGTTATTAGTCCAAAAAGTCCAGATCTAAAGTTAAAAGCTTAAATGAGCACAAAAGAAGATGAGACTTTGAATACCAGTCATCTAAGTGAGAAAAACAATGTCTCTCACACCAAACGCTTTGAAAAACTTATGAATAAAACTGTGATCATTCGCTAGAGAAAATAAGAAGTAGAGCAAGAAGCAAAGAAGACTGGAGAGTGCAATATCTTTTGAAATAGTGAGTCATGTGTTGTTAGTACCATAGTATTAGTATATAGACTTACTCGTTACTTATAAGTTTGTTTGAAGTTTGTATGGGATAGATAATTATAAAGTAGAATTATTAATTTCTCTTAAGTTATAATTTCTAAAATTATATAAATAATATTAAAAATGCTTACTAAAAGTTTAATTAGGAGAATGGGATCTGAGGAGAGAAATCACCTCAGAGAAGGTGCCTCCGTAATTGGCTTGTTCACAGGGTTGATATCCTACTTCAACTATCGTGAGTATATCAAGAAAGACTTCTTGAAGTCTGAGGGTCACTATAGAATGTCTTCTAGAATTACAAATATGACTCCATGGAAATAAATGTATTTCACCTGGTGGAGAATGCCAGATGAGGAGTTTAATGTCTACCACAGATTCAAGCCATACTATATCCTAGGCTAGATCGATTATTCCAAAGAAGTTCTTATTCCTAAGACAAGAGAATTTGACGGAACAGTTCTCTAAGGATATGATGTTATCAACCCAGTTTATTGCTACGAAGGAGGTAAATTCAACATGAAGAATGCTCTTCACAAGGAAGATCCAGTCAATATTGAAAGAGCTGCTCTTATTATTAACAGAGGTTGGATTCCTGAGGAGCTCAAGGACAAAAGAAGCAGACCAAATGAGATTAACTCAAGAAGACTGCACAAGTTTAGAGGAGTCTTCCGTAAGGGCAAAAATATTCATGATTATAAAATCCCAAATAACCCAGATAATAATGAGTGGCACAATCTTGCACTAGAGGATATCGGTATCTACTGGGAATTATCAAACTTTGATGAATGTAAGTACTACTACTTCCAACTCGTTGAGTTCCCTAATGGTGATGCTTCAGATGAGACTCACAATCAACTATATCCTTTAGCATACAGTCAAGATGAAGTAATTGATGATCATTATGGATGGATAGTTGATCCAGATACTAATAAGCAAGTCTTCAGAGGTTTTGGAGCTCTCAGTGCCCTATCCTTTGGTCTCTGCGCACTTGCATGAACTTTGCAAGCAAGGATGTGGATTGAATGTCTCTCTTCTTTCTTGCAGAAGAGTTCAATCATATTCATAATTATTTAAACTTATCTTGTTGATCTATTTGCATTCTTTTTGTAAATTTAAGAATCATGGGGTTTTGGGGTTTTGGGGTTTTGGGGTTTTGGGG